AATATCCCTATTAAATGTGTAGCACAAAGACATAAGAAACTGGTTTCTTGAACAGATAAGTATTTAAACCTTTAGATTCAGTAAATGAGCAGCATAGCTTCAGCTAGAAATGGTTACCTTTAACTTTATCACTCTCACATTGGCTTTTATGAATAATGGTTTATTCTTCCTTACAGAACTGCTTCAAGTTTGTGACATTTGAGGGTTTCCTTGTCATAACAGTTCAATGGGGTTTGGGTCTGGACTTTGACTTGTACAAAGTGCAAAATTCTTCTTCAGCCAATCTGTTTGTAGATCTGCTTGTTTGTTAAGATCATTGTCTTGCTGTAACTGCAGCTGATGAACGGACGTCATTAGCTCATTGAATTTCTCATCATGGCTAAAAAAGTTTAACTTTGTCTCTTTTGTTCAGAGAACATTGTTATTGAACTCCTGTGAATTATCTAGGTGCTCTTTGGTGAACACGCAACAATGTTCTTTTTAGCAAAGGTTTCTTCCAGGATATCCTCCCATGAAAACCATTACCATTCATTTTTTTCTGATGGTTAAGACCTGAACACTGGGTCCTTAACACCCCATCCTGCAGATCGTTAAATGCTCTTCTATGGCTCTTTGTGACTTTTCGGATTATTTGCTGGGCTGTTCTTGGGGACATCTTGTCCGGTCCTGGATAGGTTTACTGGATACTTGAGTATTTTCTATTTGTAGACTTTCTGACAGGAGAGGGATAGATCCTCAAATGTTAAGAAATGTTTTTGTAACTGTTTAGATTATGAGGTTGTTTTCGCTATTGTATATAGTTAACACCATATTCACAATGTTTCTGACCATCATGTAGGACAAGGCTGCCCTAACTCAGTTCTTGTTTACTTTTTACCAGCTTATTTAACTGCCTGATTCTAATTATCCCCATAATTGTTACAATTAAAATGGTAACATTTTTATTTTATTCTTCATGTACCATTGCTTATCAAAAATGAATTGTTGAATATAAACACTTTTGGTTATTTCAGGGGTTAATAATTTATAGAATCTAAACATTATTTATTATTATAAACCACATAAGCTATTGTAAAAAAAAAAAGGAAATTAAATTTGTAAATTAAACATAGCTAATTTGTGCTCATTAAGAAAACAAAATCCACAACCTTACATTTAATACAATGAATTAATAAAAAATCAGCAATTAAAAATTGGCTAAAAACCAAAATAAATGGAAAATTATTTGTAATTTTACTTAAAAATGGGAAAACATGCACAATGGCATTTAATAGACTCACTGAAAGTAAAACGACTTAAAATAACTATGCAACTTGGATGTGTCTGTGGGCACATGACTCATGCATTTTTCTCACACAGTTCACTGCTTCCCATTAACTACAGTCTTACTTTCACATTTGTCATGAAAATCATAAACATTTTGTTGAAAAATAACTTTTAGTGCAACTATATAAATATCTTACATTAATAAATATATTTATATAATTGTAAGCTCTTGGGAGTTCAAACCTGGACAAGCAAAAATAATTCACAAAATGGAATGTCCATAGACTCTCATGGAAAAGACGGAACAGATCAGAGACTGCAATTCCTAACTGAAGTCTTAAAACCATAATTTGCTAGTAGATAGCCTAATGTACAAAATTAAAGTGTAATATTACTCATTCAGATCTTAAACTTGTAGATACATTTGCTTATAAATATCTTAAAAGTACAAAATAAAAGCGGAATGACATGGAATGACAGTTATGAAATGATAAGGTAAAAAACGGAAAAATATAGAAAAAAGGAGATGATTGTTGAATAAACAGTTATATCTTCATATTCCTTGTTAGGTTTCACAATTAAAGTATTTAAAGGGAAGATGGCAAGTAAATCAGTGTTGACACCGTTACAGTAGTTACTTAATTTAAGAATCTCAGCTGTTTCTTGAATGAAGTTTTCAGCTTCTATGACATGACTGGGTAGCTTGTTCCATACACCCACAACCCTGTACACTGTACACAAAACTGTACACAATATTCCAAATGAGACCTTATTAGTGTGTTAAACCCTTGATTTAAATTGTATGGTTTTAACTATATATACTAATATATACTGTATATACTAATCTTTTGTTTGTCATTTGAATTACTTCCCCATATTGTCTTGCATGAAAAGTCTTTTTCTTAAGTATCCCTAATTTACTGTTCCCCATTTTTTATTTATAGATTGTTTTTGCTACCTGTGTGCAAAACCCTGCACATGTCTACATTACATGACAGCTGTCAATGTTTTCTTAGCCTTGAATTTAATTCACATCTTCTTGAATTTCATTTGCTGCTTCGCTGTGTTTGTTAAGCTGTCCAAATTGGAGTCATCTGCGATATTGACATGTTTACTAACTGTACCAGAATCGAGATCATTGATATAAATTAAGAAGAGCAGTGCTTCAGGTCCCTAGGACCACTGTGCCTTTTAAGTAATATCAATTATCTAAATTCTGATATATTTAGTAGACATGTCAAGTTTGCAGATGATACCAAATCATGAAGGTGATACCAAATCATGAAGTTAAAGTGTAGAAAATGAAGTAGAAATGAAATTCAGAATGATTTAGAGCAATGTTTAATGTGAATGTTTGATATCTGCAAAACAGATTTTTATGTACAGTAGTTATTATAAGACCCCCCAAAATGGCCCAGGACAAAATCCTAGTCACTCCTTTATCTTGTAGGTATTAAGTATTACTATTTGTATTGCACTATTGTTTGTACAAGTCAGAAATTAGTCCTTCATGCTTGTGTAATAGTGAAGATAGATCAAAATGTGGTATAGAAGAAATGTTAAATTTGATTATAAAGCATTGTTGGAAAAGTTTTACATGTAAAAAATGAATGTTTACGAATTACTAATGTTTTTAAATTTACTCCTGTAAATGACTAATGTTTAAGATATGTGTAAGATATTATAACAGAATTAGTTGTTGGAAGATAAATGTAGAAACAGAGGAAAAACTCAAGTTATTGTTTTTCTCTTAATGTAAGTACCCCTGTGAATTCTTTTACTTTCTTTTTTGTTAGAAAAGTGAACATTAACTTCTTGGATGGATGCCACAGTTCTCTAGCTGCAGCGGCCTTTACCCATACTGGATTTGTTTCTCCTTTGGATACTAAATCCATTGATCTCTACAGACAAGTGATAGCAGTGCAGAATTTCTGTCATTAGGCTTCAGCCAGTGAAGATGTCCTTATTGTAATTGGCATTTTCAAAAGTGCAAATCGCTGTACTTTTGCTTTTTATTCAAGGGCAGGCCATCTAAAAAGATCTTGAATACCCGAACAGTATCAGTGTAAGGGCTTAATTGTACTGTGAGATTTCAAACATTAAAAAAAAACTAGCATTGACAGTACAAATAAAATGCATTTTAGTGTTTTACACTTGTTAGTAGTTGTACTATCAGTAAAGTGTATAATTGTGATAGAGTATTATGATTTGTAAAGGCAGTACAAGTATTTTGAGTAAAACAGGAAATGGGACAGCTTTATTTTATTTAGATCCTTATTATCTAATTAACATTACCTTTAAACAAATAAAAAACACCAATACAATCAAAATTACATTTTAAGGAAAAAAGACAACTGAGTAGAAAAATTATTTGAATTGGTGATGGAATTTAAATATATCCAAGATTAGCTTCAAGGAATTTATTTTTTTTTCATTTTCAAAAGCCAAATTACATTGAAATCATCTCCCTTTTAACCACTAACACTTTCATATTTTCCTCAATATTACAGGATAAACTTGGCTTGACACTTTCGGAAAAATAGGCAGTGGGAAGGTGAAGAGGAATGCATAAAATTATATATAATGTTCATGATTTTTTGTGTACCTCTCATATACAGTACAATGCTCTTGTGTACAGTAGTCTTAGATATCACTGTTGTGCTCTTTTTATTTAGTGTAATGTTTATGCAGCATTACAGTTCTTCAACCATTTCTGCTGTTGTTTTAGAAATTTAGTTTTAAGCCAACAATTAATTCTAAGATCTATCTTCCATAGTACAAAAATAATTATAATGATGGGAAACAATTGACACTCAGTCAATAGGTTTTAATTAGTAAATGTGATGGATTCGCTGCTATAACTGTTTATATTTGCTGCTCATAGTTTACTCTGAGTTGTTAGGATTATGGTTTTGAAGATTCTGATGAATATGAAGTTATTTTAGAACTTTACAAATGAAGCTGTATTTTTAAGGTTTAATAGGTAAATTGTTTTTGCTCTTACTGTGTATATATACAGTATATAGTATCTCTTAATTATCAATGTTTTTTGCATAGTAGTGTGTACATATAACTTGTGCATTATTAATTCAGGAAGCATTATTCCAGTACAGACAAATGAACAATGTTATCTTTATTTTATACTTCTAGAGTACCAAAAATTGTTCAAATTATAATATGATTTACTCAACAGTTACATTTGATTAACTATGCTCTCAGAAAATCATATACATATGAATGTGTACCCTTTTCATTCTTTGTGAATTATTAATTTTAGGATTCAGTGTTTTAGTAATTATATTCATGACATTTTTCTGACATTATGGGAAAATACAGGACTCGTTTTTTTATTAGTTTGACTAAAACAGTGCATGTTTAACATGCACCATTTTACAAAATATGAAATTTTTTTTTTTGCTCTGACAAATGAATATATCTCAGATGTGTATACTATAGTTAAAAAAGAATGATTCCAATTCTGGATTTTAAAATGCTGAGAAAGCAATGTGTTGTCAAAGAATCATTGTTATGATGTTTTGTAAAATGTCCCTCACAAAACTGACTCCTATATTTGCATCTAACATGTAAGAAACACAATTCATTATTGCTAGTTTTCATTCTGTATATTTTACTTAGATTTGATCAGACAAATTGATATCTGTATTTTCTATATATGTAATTATGGATAGATAAAAAAAGGGTCACTTAATTACTATTACATTTTATTTTTGCAGATTGGACAACTTGTTTTTAAAGGCATGAAACGACTAAACCGGATCCAGTCAATAGTTTTTGAGACAGCCTACAACACAAACGAAAATATGCTGATTTGTGCACCCACCGGAGCTGGGAAAACGAATATTGCTATGCTAACTGTTCTGCATGAAATTCGCCAGCATATTCAGCAAGGAGGAGTGATCAGAAAGGATGAATTTAAGGTATAAATCACATGGAAGCTTTATCTTTTAAAATATTGTGTTGTTATCAGTCACATTGCATAGGCAGGCTACATGTCAAGGTTATTACCTGTCTAAAAGTCTTTACACGAAGCAGTGCTTCTTTATAGTTCATTACTAACATACTGCTACATTTGAATCTTGAATATATATTTGCCTACCTGAATCACATAAATAAGTAAAGTAAAATGTAAAACATTCAAATCTAAAGCAGCTGCAATTTTCTGTACAGTGGGCCTAAGTAAACAAAATCCATTGTCCTTTAAAAAGTTCCCAACCTAGCTAACAATGATAACCACTTTTCATATATCACCATTAAAGTTTTTCATTCTAAGTGGCCTGCTTCATATTTCACAATAAATTGTGATTTGTACTTGTTGCCAAGGAACAAATGATACTGTGGAGTTTACTCATTTATCAACTGAATGTCCTTTCACTACAGATTGTGTACGTTGCCCCTATGAAGGCATTGGCTGCTGAGATGACAAATTACTTCAGTAAGCGTCTAGAACCACTTGGCATCTCTGTGAAGGAACTGACTGGAGACATGCAGCTGACCAAAGGTGAAATCCTGCGGACACAGGTAAATCCACACAGCTGGAAACACCTGGCATAGCTCAAAGCTTATTCTTCCACTTTCAGCTTGGGATCATGTACTGTGGTCAGCTATGATTTTACATGAATGCTTTTAAAAGTTGTGATCTGTGAAACGTGGCACCACATGACTCCACATATTCCTATAATCAAAAAAAGGTGAACGTTTTAACCTGTACTCTGTGGTATTGTGTGGGAAAATTGTACAAATAATTTAAGCAGAAATTATTGAAACAATCATAACAGCTTCTTATGCAGCAGTTTAGTTTTCTAGTTCATCTGAATACTAGAAACATCACTTTTAACCCATCGTATGAGTATGAGAGCCTTTTATTTTAGTGTTGTAAAAATAGTGTTGGAAAATGGACTTTGGTTTGCACTGTCAGCTAAAATTTGACATGTTTTTTATAATTTGCTTTCGGTGCTTAGTGAGAATAAGTTGATATGAGCAAGTTCCTCCAGCATAAGCATCACTGATTGGTTTAATCTGAAAATGTTACATAATTGCATAAACTAGCATCCTGTCACGTCTGCAAAACTGCAAAACCTGGGATTGTCAGCTAAAAAAAATCCTCACAAAAATGATTTGGGTGGAATGGAAGCAAAGACATAGCAGATGAAGTTTGACATCAGTAAATATAAAATGTTATGTGATGAAGGTAAGAAGGATGTTCACTGCAAACAGTAGTTTGATGGACCAGAACTATAAAAATCTTATAAGAATACGGATTCATTTATTTTTTAGACTCACCAATGAGTACAATGAAGAGTTAATGGATATTTAATAAAAACTGCTGAATTCTGTATATAATATATTATTCTGAGGATTTATTACACTATTGGTACAAAAATACAGCACGGCATTGGAAAGAATCTGAGATTGTCGCTAAGAACTATACCAGGGTTTATCTTTCATCAGAAGGTAGATTTTAAGCCTGGAATAAATGAGGCAGCTGGGAAATCATAAATAAGGTTGTCTAAATTGTGAAAGGGATTGAAAAGTCAAACCCTTATTTGAAACTCTAGTAAGAGATCAATACTGTGGAATAAAACAATGGAATTTTAGTACCTTTAACATAAGAATGTAGAATATAAAAAAAAATGTATTTATAGAAAGGTTAATGTATATAACAAACTAAGCAAGACACAGTGGAAATGTTGAACATCCCAGATGTTCTTAGGGTTTAGTGTTGACAACAGCACACAACTGGGAAAGTTGCACAGGCGCTGAATAGTCAGTCAGGGTTCTCTCTCCTCTGTGGCCTCCCAGGACTTGCAAGCCTGCAGAACTTTTGGTTTGGCAAGCACTTTTCCTCGAATGGGTGCTGAATTTCCAGTACTTGACTCTGGAGCCTCTGAGTTGTTAAGAGACAAGTTGCTTGTACAGTAGGTTGAAAGGTCAGTGGAGTCTGCCTACATTTCAGCCTCCCCTGTGTGTGATCACGGGGTTTGTAGTTGCAAGCTGAGACATCAAAAACACACAATTGGTTATTGTAATTGTGGTGGGTATAACAAAAATAATTGGCGGTTCTAAATATAAAATGAAAAAAAATTACAAATGCAACCACTTCTACTGATAAATTTCCCTGGAAGATGAGAATCATTAATTATACAGAACCTCTTATGTCACTGTTATGCGGACCTATAAGTCAGGGATTTTTTTTTCTTCAAGTGCAGAAGCGAAATTTTCTTCACATATATATTTTTAGGTGTGATTTGCACTATTGAAAACAACGCTATAAGCGAGTTTTATGTGGGTGTGTGACTTTTCTAGATTCAACAAGCAGACTAACATATACAGTAAATGGACAAAATACTTTATAAAATAGTTTTAATATCTTTATTAAATAATAATATGCAGTTATAACATTAAACATTTCCATAATATTTCTGTTGCATTTAATACAAATTACAACCATTATGATTTGATACTAAAGCTCTAGACTTTATGCTATGTTTGAGGATGCATCGTAAGTGTTTTTTTTAAGCTGCAAATTTATCTTAACTCATGCTGTTACACTGTCAAGTATCACTTTGCAAAACATAACTAGAAACGTGAAAGCAGTACTGAAAGCTTCCAAGCAGGTACTTATCAGCAAGCTCGAGGAAAACTAGAATGATAACTCCCAACACTGGAGTTCATTGGCCATCCAGTTTTTTTAAGATGTTAGTCGTATAGTATTTCAACAAGCAGGACTAGTGTCACCAAAATGTAAGGTTCACGTTTAAAGCAGTATCTTTGATATTTCATGACCATTGGTCATTGGCGGTTCCCAAAACAGCATTAGTTTAAGGTTTAAGAACACAATGACGCTCAGGCAACCATCTGGGTTTAATCAGAATCGCAAAGCTGTAATATTGGCACTATATTGTTAATTGGCCCGATGTGCTTTGCACTAGAGAATTTTGTAGTGCGAGATGGTTATTGACAAGAGAAGATAATGTGGCATCTATTTTCACCATATTGTAATTGTCACTAGTGTGATATCTACCATAATTAGTGCTAATTGACCAGATGGTTTTGAAGAAGAGCACTTAGGATTGTAGGGCAGGTTTTGTCATGGTAACCTTGTGCTGGCGTCCAAAGTATTGCTAAAACCTGTGGGGTGTAATTATAAAGCGGGTCTGGGTGTAATTACACCCTGCAAATCAGAAGCACCTTCCATCATTCATGAAAACTGTAAAGTTTCAGTTCAGTTGGTGCTGTGGTTCCAAGACAAAGGTAGTTTGCGTTATGAGAATGTCAGTAAGGTGGCCATCTTGCTTTAAAAAAGAAATGTCAATATGTCAGATGTTAACAATGTACAAGGAATGTGTAAAGAAATGACACCATGTTTCAAGTTGTTAAATTGCATAGGTTAGTGTTACAGAGCTGCGTGTTGACAGTAAAGACAAAGAATTGGCCATGGTCAGGAACCAGCAGATATAATCATCTGCTATGTAGATGATTTTTACTTACACATTTTGGAGTTAAATGGGTAAATACTTTCAGAGGAGGGGTGGTTTGTGACCTCTTGTAGACACAAAAAATAAAATTACAACTTATCAATTGCAAATGTGAACAACTTTTGGTTGTTGAAATCTGCCAGGTTTAAAGTCAGATAAAGAACAAAACAATTTTGCAGGGTTGCAAGGTTTTGAATAGGCATGTATGGTGTTAGTCATTAATGTCATTCATGACCTCATAAATTAGGACTAATATATTTTATATTAAGACTCATTTATTTTATAACGTGTTACTGTTTTGCCAATAAAAGAAGACTTTGATAATGTTTTCATTATTAAAACATAATAATAAAATCTTGTATGTGAAGTTCTTTGAGATTCTTTGGGATCTCAGGGAGTTAGTATTTTGGTTTAATTATAATAATTAAAATGCTACCAATATACATAACATTTTGTTTATTCATGAACCAGATGTAACTATGTTGATTGATCATTTTGGTTACTTTTAAAATGTATGTGCTTGTAGATGTGCACATTGCAAAATACTTTAAATATTTTTAATTTGACAGATTATTTTATTTCAGTTACATAAGTAGTAGTTATTGAGAAGGGGTTCTGCTTTTGCACTGTTTACTGTTACAATCAATTTGTGCAACTAGTAAGACCTAATATTGTTTAGTTTTAATAAAAAAAAACTCAATCTATGCTTACGATTCTTATAATAACTTTTTTGAACTTTTCAATCTTTGGAAATGAACTAGTTCATGTCCATGCACAGTTGCATGATAGGGTATTGGTCCCCTTCATTTGAAATAAAGTTATTCGTACAATAATTAATTTACTGTAGTAGGTAGTTGCATGAAATGTGTAAAATATATGGATATTTCTTTTGCTCAATGATTTATCCACCTGTTGGTGCAGATGAAACATTGTTGTGATGAAATGCATATCGCAAACATAATTACACTTCTCTCCACCCCACACCACCTCCTCTCTCCTCCTCTCCTCTCCTTGTCCTCCTTGCCCAGACTTTTTTACTCATGATGCACAGGAGGGATAAAAAAACTTGTATAATAATCAAGTTTTTAAACTCTGCATTTATGAACTGGATGTCAAAAACTATTTGGATCTTTTGAAACTGTTCATTACACTGATTACATTAGCTTCTGTGTGGACAACACCATAACAACCAAAGAAGTACTTCTTTCCCAATAACAAACCCAGGATCACCAGCGACCTGAAGGCTCTTCTGAATGATAAGAAGAGAGCCTTTAGTAGGGGGGGCAGGGAGGAGGTTAAGCAAGGGAAACAAAAGCGGAAGTTAAGGGAGAGCGAGGACTCATACAGGAGGAAGGGTAGATAACATGCTGCTAAGGAATAAGGTGAGGGATGTATGGAGCAGTATGAGAGAGATCACTGGCTTCAAACAGACTGTTGGTGTAACTGAGGGGAATCTGGAGATGGCCAACGAGCTGAACCAGTTCTTTAATAGGTTTGATTCAGGACTCTCTGTGGCTCACCACCCATCCCCCCACAGCCACTTACTGTACTTACTTAATACTTACTGTATTGTATTGTTGTGTTATTGTATCACTTCTTTACACTGCGCTGTGTTGACTGTGCCAGGCTACGGTTTCACTGCAATTTCCCACATGGGATTAATAAAGTATCTATCTATACCTTTTCTTCAGTGAAAATTAACTACTTTTTAAAGTTTATTGACCATTGATTCCAAGTGAAGGTTCTGGTAAGTTTTGGAACCCTCTGAACTAGTTATTTCTTCTTTTGTTTTTCTCCTGTCACCTGCTGAGATGAAGTTGTTTTCAGTAATCTTAGTTTACTCAAAATTTTATCTAGGCAAATGAATTATTGAATAGGTGTTTCAGATTAAGGTACAAAGGCTTTTGACCGAGACAGCTTATGTCCAGTAATCTTAGTGTGCATCATGTGGGAGCTTGCATACACAATTGCTAATGTGTGCAAAGGACTCTCTTTCTGTGTAGGAATGAGAGGGAAAACCCAATGCACTGATTTAGTCTGGGA